AGGGGCAGTCAGCCCTTAAATGGGGTCTAATGAGGTCTAAGACCCCTTCCAGTCACACAGGTGAATTGCCTTCACCTGTTCTCCCTGGGCTGAGCTGGTCCTTTCCCTGGGTGCTCAATCAGGGCATGACTCAACAGTTCCCATACACAAGCAAAAATCACAACTTTGCCCCTGCTGTCTTTACCAAGAAAGTACAAATGTAAAATCTCTTACTTGTGCAGCTTCTTCATAAGCAACAAGAGTAAATTCATTTTGGAAAAGCTCCAGAAAGCAGCCAACAACTTTCCCAAGTTAAACAAGTAGTGCCTGTGCTCCTGAACAGAAAGGTTGTAAAATAAGGAGGAGGCCTACTAACAAGAATTAAAAATGTCAGAGCCAACCTTTTACAGTGTCTCTAGCATATTTGCTTCAGTTTGTGGTGATGATTTGTGGTAGGCAGTGCCTTGGGTTGGTATCATCCAGTGTACCCAGCCCATGCCAAAGTCCAATCTTATCTCACGTTGCCTAATCCATTTCCCAACTGGGAGTTTCTCCTGCCCACCTTGAACTGGATTGTGAAACTTCTCTGTAAGCCCATTTAAGTCATTAACCTGGCAGAATCAACTTCAGCAAGAAATAAACACACAACATTAAAAATGATAGGGAGGAGAAAGGATATACATGTATATTTTTTAACACGCTAGTGTTTGTAACATCAGATCACAGAAGTACACTGTTCATGGATTACAGCCAGGAATGGAAGATGGTACAGCTGTTGCATTCACTTACTGGCCTTTGAAACTCCAAATTGCTGTACTTGGACCTGTGCTTTTGAGCTTTCTTTTATCTAACTAGATCCCAGTCTGTCATTTTCTTTGCTCTGTAGAGTGTGACATGAAAAAACACTCACAGTTCAGCTCCTAAAAAGCAGCGTTGGTCATCCCTGCGACTTTAGAATCACAGAATCACCAAGGTTGGAAAAGACCTACAAGGTCATCCAGTCCAACTATCCACCTATCACCAATAGTTGTCACTAAACCATGTTCTTCAACACATTGTCTAACAGCTTTGCAGAACACCTTCCCTGAGGTGCAGCCTTGTGGTATGCTGGTGGCTGCCTATGCACAGAGGTGTTTGCTCCACACACGAGGTTCATCTAAGGAACATATTGAGCAAGAAGAAAAGAAGAATTTCTGTACTTATTTTGTCCCTATTCCTTCTTAAATCTCCTCTGTTACTGCCTTGGCAACAGTTGGTCTAATTGAAAAAAACTCTAATTGAAAAAAAATGCTGGTCTCTCCTAAGTCTTTTCAGTTCTGTGAAACCTTCTGTTTGTTTTTTAAAATAAGTGAATACTTCTATTACTGTTTTTAGCAGTTTTTCCTATCTTCCTTCATGTGACCCAGGTAGATCCTGCAAATTCCAAAATGCCTGCTGCTTTACCAAAGCTGTTCACAGTGGTTGACTTGAATAGGTTTTAAATGACTTAAAGCGTGCAGTAGTTAAATCAGAATTTGTAAAATGATCATAGGTTCAATAATTATACAGTAAATGTACTGTTTTCTCTTCTTCCTAACAGATTGTACAGTAAAAAGGAATCTATATGATAATGACATGCAGACAGATTTTAAAAAGATAAAAAGAAAACTTTGTACAGCTATTTTGTCTTAGGATGATCCCAAAGATGAGCATTGTCCCAGTTGTCTAAAACCGCTTATCTAACGATGTAGACAAGTGATTTTTTTCAGTCAGGAGACTGGAATTGTTGCTCAAAAAGCTTTTGTTCTGAAAACTGCTTGCTGGTTTCTTTGTTTAACAGATAAAACGGGCTGTTAACACACATGCCTATTACCTTGTTTTTTTCCTACATTTACTAAAGACAGAATTTAAAATCCAAAGAATAGAAAAAATTCAGGCAATGGTAATGCAAGCCTTGACAGAACAGTGCATTATCTTATTGCTGAATAATTCTAATTCATGTATTTTAACTGTAATAATACAGAACATAGCATTTGCTGGATTTAGCACATTAATACTTCACTTCCTCGATGATAAAAATGTGTCTTGTTCTACACTTAATTACACTACCTTCCACTTGTCTCTATGCTTTTAATCAGAGAAAGTAGCTAGGAACTTTGACTTTCGTTTGTGCCTCATCCTTACCAATTGGCTATTACAGGTAAAAACTGTCAAAAAAGCCTGTAGCTGCTGAGCTGGACAGCTGCCTGCAGTTCTTTAGACTAAATTATGTATGAGAATGAACTGAGCTTTAGGTTCAGCTGGTTTGTAAAAAGCCAGCCACATTTTTGAGAGAGAATGTTAGTCAAAGCTTGGGTTGGTTGCTGCAAGTCTCATTCTAGTTTTGTTCTCCAGCTGTGAGTAGAGCTGGTTGAAGCCCAGTTGGTAGCACAGATATATAATATAGTTTTTGCCATGGGAAGGAAACAGGGGCTTGGCAAAGCTAGAAAAAGAAACAGAAGTTGAGCTGTGTGTTATATATTTGTGTCTGCAGCAGGCTCAGCCTTACTTTTTAGAATCATAGAACCGTAGCACATGCCGAGCTGGAAGGGACCAACAAGGATCACTGACTCCAACTCCTGGCTCCATGCGTGACCACCCAAAATTCAAACCCTATGCCTGAGAGCACTGTCCAAATGCTTCTTGAACTCCCTCAGCTTGGGTCAGTGATCACTGCTCTAGGGAGCCTGTTCCAGGGCCTGACCACCTTCTGGAGAAGAACCTTTTCCTAATCCTAAACCAGGCCCTCCCCTGACGCAGCCATTCCATTAGGACCCGTCATTGTCATAGAATGTTTTGATTTGGAAGAGACCTTTCAGGATTGTCTAGTCCAACTCCCCTGCAATGAACAGGAACTTCTACAGCTGCATCAGGTGCTCAGAGCCTTGTCCAGTCTGACCTTTAATGTCTCCAAGGAATGGGGCTTCCACCGCTTCTCTGGGAAACCTGTTCCAGTGCCTCCACACCTTTATTCTAAGACACTTCCTTATATCCAGTCTAAATCTCCCCTCTTTTAGTTTGAAAGTGTATTCCCTTGTCCTATTACCACAGACCCTGCTAAAGAGTCTCTCCCCTTCTTTCTTGTAGCCGCTCTTTACATACTAAAAGGCCACTATCAGGTCTCCCTGGAGCTTTCTCTTCTCCAGGCTGAACAGCCCCAGCTCTTGCAGCCTGTCCTCACAGGAGAGGTGTTCCATCCTTGGATCATCTTTATGGCCCTCCTCTGGGTGCACTCTAACAGGTCCACGTCTCTCCTGTAGTGACAACTCCAAATCTGGATGCAGTACTCTAGGTGAGGTCTCGTTAGCACAGAGTAGAGGAGTAGGATTCCATCCATCAACCTGCAGGCTACACTTCTTTTGATGCAGCCTGGGATATGGTTGGTTTTCTGTGCTACAAGAGCTGGTTCATATCCAGCTTTCATTCCATCAGAACTCCCAAATCCTTTTCAGCAGGACTGTGCTCCATCCCGACATCCCCCAGCTATTACTGATATTGGGGATTGCTGTGATTAAGGTAAAGACTTTGTACCTTGGCTTTGTTGAACCTCATGAGGTTCTCCAGGATCCACTGCTCGAGCAGTCTCTGAATGCCATCTCGTTCCTTGGGTGTGTCAACTGCACCACACAGCTTAGAATCATCTGCAAACTTGCTGAGGGTACACTCAATCCCACTGTTGGTGTCATTGATGAAGATGTTAAAGAGCACTGGTCCCAGTACTGACCTCTGAGGGATGATACTTGTCACTCATCTCCACTTGGACACTGAGATATTGACACCACTCTCTAGGTAAAATTTGGAAACCAGTTCCTCATTCACTGAACAGTCCACCCAGCCAGTTTGGAGAGAATGATTTTACTGGGACTGTGTTGAAAGCTTTACTGAAGTGGCTTATCCCTTGTCCACTGACAAGTTATGCTATCATAGAAAGCAACAAGGTTGGTCAGGCAGGATATGCCCTTGTTGAAGCCACGCTGGTTATCTCTTAACACCTCTCTCTCTTCTACATGCCTTAGTATAGCTTCTAGGAGGATCCCAGAGAAGAGATCCACTCCTCTCATAAGGAAGCTGCAGGCTGCTGTGAGGTCTCCCCTTAGTCTCCTCTTCTCTTCACATCAATGGTGTCATTCTGCCAACTGAAAGCTTCTGTGATGGCCATTTAAATGTGTTATCACACAATGAACACATTTAAATGTGTTATCAGTCATTCCATACTGTAGTTTTCCTGAGTGGTGAGAAATGATAATGAAAATGTCGTGGAGTAGTTGTATGGATAGGGCCTAATACCTTAACTAGTGCAAATGAAGAACCACCTAGTAGTCAGGGGAGTGCAGAGACTTTTGATTTACCAGGGAAGTCCATCTTCCTCTGTAGTCTCCTCCTGCTTCAACTCCCATTTGTGAGATGGAGAAGCCTTGGCTTGGTTCAGTTTTGAAGCATGAAGTTCCTTGCAGTGTGTTGGATATATTAATTTTTAATGAGCATAGAAAGTAATTATGCAGCATTCTAACAGCAGATGTTAATTACCACATGTTGGTGCTTTTACCAATTGAGTAAACACAATATCTCCTAAGTGTAGTCTAATTATAGACATAATACAAGAGAAAAAGCTCTTCAGAAAACAGTTTGCTGGGGCAGAAAGGCGAAAGTGTGCGTGCTTCTTGTGTTGCAGGTATTGTGGGGTTTTGTTTTCCTTTAAAAGTCTCAATTCTACATACCTTTTCAAGAGGGAAGAAGTGTCAAAAAATCTGATAATGAAGAGAGAAATAAATAAACTTTTCAACCAGTGTTGGAATACAAAGCTAGGCCTTGCATTCTAATGAATGGTTATGCACACTCATGGTACCTATGGATGAGATCTGCATACGGCTGTACAAGTTCCTCTGGCTCAGAGGTCCTGCTGGCCCTTTGTGCCTCTCCATCTCATACAAAAAGTACTGCTTTTTGAGAATTGGTATGGGCACTGATGCATGTAAATAATATACGTACTATGCCTCTCACAGGTGGATTTGCTGAATTCTCCAGCTGTTTCCCTGGTCTCTGCGAAGGAAAATCCACACTTGTCCCTACTTGCATTTCTCAACCCTGTCTACCAGTCTCTAACATTGGCCCAACCAGGATTCTGCCTCATCTCTACCTGGGGTGTCAGCGGGATGTCCTCAACAAGGTGAGCATTCTGCATGCTGTGCTGATGCGTATATAATCTCTATGTCTATCCATGCCTCTGTCATACTGCATCATTGTAGCTATAGGAGATCTAGGTGATAGGAGTAAAGAACTTGCTGGGTAAAGAACTGGCTGGATGGTGGGCCCAGAGAGAGCTGGTGAATAGAGTTAAATCCAGCTGGTGACTGGTCACGAGTGGTGTTCCCCAGGGGTCAATGTGGGGGCCTGTCCTATTTAATAACTTTATGGATGACCTGAATGAGGACATTGGTTGCACGCTCAGTAGTAACTTTGCAGATGACACCAAGTTGGGGGGAAGTATTAATCTGCCTGGGGGTAGCAAGGCCCTACAGAGGGATCTGGACAAGCTGAATAGCTGGGCTGAGGCCACTAGGATGAAGTTCAACAAGACCAAGTTCTGGGTCCTGCACTTTGGCCACAGCAATCCCAGGCAACGCTACAGGCTTGGGCAGAGTGGCTGAAAGACTGCGTAGAGGAAATGGACCTGAGGTTATCAATTGATACTCAACTGAACGTGAGCCAGCAGTGTGTCCAGGTGGCCAAGAAGGCCAATGGCATCCTGGCTTGTATCAGAAATAGTGTTGCCAGTAGGAGCCCAGAGGCAATTATCTCTCTGTACTCAGCCTTGGTGAGGCTTCACCGTGAGTACTGTGTTCAGTTTTGGGACCCTCACTACAAGAAAGACATTGAGGCCCTGGAGTGTGTTCAGAGAAGGGTGATGAAGCTGGCGAGGGGTTTGGAGCACAAGCGTTATGAGGGGCTGCTGAGGGCCTCTTCTCTCAAACAACTAGAGATAGGACTAGAGGGAATCGCCTCAAGTTGTTCCAGGGGAGATTCTGGTTGGACATTGGGAAATAATTCTCTGAAAGAGTGGTCAGCTACTGGAGTGGGCTGCCCAGGGAGGTGGTAGAGTCACTGACCCTGGAGGTGCTCAAGAAACATTTAGATGTTGTACCGAGGGACATGGTTTCGTAGGAAATATTGATGACAGGTGGATGGCTGGACTGGATGATCTTGTAGGTCTTTTCTAACCTTTGTGATTCTGTAGCCTTCCATGGCTTGCATGCAGCAATCTTGATGAGAACAAATAATATGCTGTCCACATAATTAAGCCACACACCATCTAATATGGTACTTGATCTCTTCTCTATCCTTCCTCTTGGAGAAGTTGATGTCATACTTTCCTCAGTAACCTACCAACCAACAGCAAGCTATTAAATCTGCCATTACAGTAGGTCAGATAGTTTATTGTGTATAGCACTGACTAGTTTGTTTTGGCATATGTTGGATATTTATACAACTGTATTAGTAGCTCTGGTGACACAAAACAAATATTGCCTGTTTTTCCGTATTTTCTTTAAGTGTTTATATATGTGTCTTTTATCCCTGTATAAAGCTAAAGATTGGAACTACCATAATAGTCCTATAAATTGATCATTTTCTTAAGATCCAATTGATAAAAGGATATAAAACTATTAAAAACTGCCCAAAGGATGACTACAAAGATGGTGTAGAGTCTGGAAGGGAAGACATGAGGAACAGCTGAAGTCCCTTGATTTATTCAGCCCAGAGAAAAAGAGACTGAGGGCAGACTTCATCACAGCCTACAACTTCCTCACAAGGGGACCAGAGGGGTAGATGCTGATCTCGTCTTTCTGGAGACCAGTGATAGAACCTGAGGGAAAGGCATAAAACTGCAACAAGGGAAGTTCAGGTTGGATATCAGAAAAAGGTTCTTCACTGAGAAGGTTGTCGGGCACTGGAATAGGCTCCCCAGGGCAGTGACCATGGGCCCAAGCTCCAAGAGTTCAAGAAATGTTTGGACAATGTTCTCAGACACATGGTCTGATTTTTGGTTGGTCCTGTGTGGAGCTAGGAATTGGACTCAGTGATCCTTGTATGTCCCTTCCAACTTGGGATGTTCCATCAGTCAATTACATACTTTTTTTATCATATTCTCATGGGTTTCTTCTACTTCTCACTCCATCCTAGTCTTGCTTTTAAAAGGCTATTTTGGGATATTCCACAATTTAAGCAGGGTCTTTGACTAACAGGGAATCATTGAGAAGATATGTGTACTTTTAAGGAACATACAGAAAAAAATTTAATACAAAGGACCATCAGCAGTCTTTGTATATATCTCATCCTTTAAGATCTTTAGCAACTTTGATGCCAGACAGCAAGTCAGTAGTTCAGACCTGATTTACTTAAGATGGATGTCAAAGCAACTTACTATTTTTCTTACTACAAAAATGATTTGTCATCCTCAGACAAAACACCAAGTAAATTAAAAAATAAATAAATTCTGCTTTAAGTTGTAGCAAATCAGATGCTTTGATGTTGTTTGTTTCAATACATGAATGGTAAGTGCTATCCTAGGCCTTGGAGAGAGGAGGGCCCTTATTTTCCAGCGTGGCCAGGGACACACCACAGCATTTGGGGGTATGACTGGAACTCTTGTGCTGAGGCTATGAATAATCCCCAGAGATGAAAGAGGATGTTCCCTTTACTTGCAGTAAACTGGTTCCTGTAAGTAGATGTTATGCATCAGCATGGTACGTGGGCCTCCTTAGGAAAGCAATCCAAGTGGTAGCAGTGGTCAGGAATTTCCTTATAGAACTGGAGTAGTCAAAAACCACAACTGCCACTGGTAAGCCCTGGGTGTAGCAGAGCATTCTACAAGAGAGTAGACACTTGGCAGTGTCTCCCGTGCCTATCAGTTTACAACCTTGATATTATGTCAGCATTTGTCCATCACAGCTGCAGCTGCATATACTTTAGAATTAACATAGGATTCCTGGAAGTTGGTCAGATTTATACTTCTTCACCTCATAAGTTTCTTATCTGTTTTTAGGACAAATATACATTTTATGATTTCCTATCTGCTTGTACAATTTTCATACATGATATAAGTAACAGGCAGTTCTCTATTCTGAGCGTGTTACTTGTTCACTGCACTGAAATGGACCTTAGTAACTCAAATGGAGCCTTGGTAACTCATCTCATGCAGTCAGTTTTGGTGCATAAGTGGAAAGACTTAAGTGGATAATCTCTGAGTGTATGAGGGGGGAAAATTTGTCCTGTAATGTGACCTTTTAGGAACACTGATGCTATTTGCCACCACTACCTCTACTGATAATGATTTATGTATGAAAAACAAGCAAATGCAAGTGTTTGGGTTGTGTCCTTGAGGAAAATTAATGATTGCTTCAGAAAATAATTAGATTACTTATATTTTTGCTTAAGAAATTTATTTTTAAATGCTTAATTTTGAAAATGTCTGTACCATTCTCTGCAGTGATGAAACACTAAGAACCTCATGGAGTTTCTGACCTAGCTTTCCAATGTGTTCTTTAATAATTTGGTGATCAGTGGTGTTGCTTTACCTAAATACGTGTACTTTTTTCACCATTATCAGTTCTCTTTTACTGTAGTTGATAAAGAAGCCCATCTTTCTGGGTCTCAGTCTCTGATATATTGTTGACTATTGATATCAGATGCAAGAGGCTACTTGTTTTGACAGAAGATCTTTGTTGATGTTCAGATTTGAGAAAATAAGACAAACTAAAATCTGTATGTGAGTGACAGTGTCTTTCCTGAAAATTAGGATTACAGAAAAAAAGCTATGTTGGGAATGGGCCTGAACAAGTCTCCTGCTTACATCACATATTTTATACCAGCATTTGAGCTGTAAGGTTCTGCTTTGCTCCTTACATAACTATTCTGTTGGTTTTTTTTCTTCCAGATCTGGATTTTATTTCCTGGAACAAAGTAACATTGCAGGGTGTCATTAATTCTAAGATTAAACAAGTCATAAAATGTAAATAAGCTGACAAAAGAGCATTTACCTTCTTTTCACAAAGCTGTTAGTACTAGGATTTCTGGATCTTCCTTCCATCATAATGCACTTCTTCCTCTTGGGTGCCTTACAGTGAAGACACTGTTATGGTTGTTGTGTTACAGTGTGCTGCACAAGGATTTATTGATACTTTAGAACAGAAGGAGCATAACTTCTTTCTTTAGACTGGTCTCAAAGATGAGTACTAACACATTTTTGGGTGCCTTTTTGGCTCAGTAGTTTCAGACTTGGGGCCTGCAGCCTTTTACTTCCCATTTCAGTAATCAGATTCCAAATTCATCAGCTTTCCAGCGCTTCTCACTGCAAATTTAATTTATGCTTGCATATATATGTGTGCATGTGTTCAGCCCTTCTACATATACACCACAACGTACATGCAGTGTACCTCTGTAGTAAACATTACAGTTTATTTAACTTGCCCTGATTTGAACTAGATAGATTCTTCAGATTGCCATATCCCTGTTTCTCCTCACAAAACATCTTCTACTTGGAGAAAAAATTACATGTGGGGAGGAAGTGAGCAGTTATACCTCTAGGATATTTTTTGATACTGGTAGACTTCCAGTTAAAATCTGCAGCATAAGAATTGATTTTCTTGCTATTGCTCCTATGGTTTGGCATAATTGTACTTTTTAATTATAATTGCTGTAAAAGCTAAAGAATCAGATTTTTTATTTTCTTTATTTATTTATTTTGCTTTTTTTGTGTTTGGTTTAAATCGAAATCTAGCAGAAGATTTCCCTTTACAAGTATCTTTACAACTACTGTCACTGCTTACCAGATCGTACCTGTAACAGAATCATGGTTTGATAATGAATACATTAACTTGCTTATTTTTCTGTGGCAAAGTCCTAACTTGAAGGAGATTGTGTGAATGTTTTGTGGAGTGATCTAGCAGCCTTTCTAGTACTCAGGCACAAAGGTGCCTGCTGCATCAAAGGCTGCTTTGTGACACAATTCTAAATACAGATAACATAGCAAGATGCAACATTTGTTTGTTTATTTTGCAACCATGAAAATCATTTTACTTAAAAGGCCCAGCTGATTGCATGCTTTGAATCTTTTCTTGTTCCTGTGACAATCTTGGAGGACTAAAGACTGAAAACTGAAATAGGGGCAATCTCATACCATAAAGCAGACCATAAAACTGCAGTTAGTGCTGCACAGAAGCAGCCTACTTCAAGGTCTTGGTTTTGAATGAATTTCACACCTTGCCTTAGAAATAAAGAAGCCTTGGGTACTTGAAGATGTGACTGCAGGAAGCATCAGTTTCGTTTCACGTTTCTGATTATCTGTGATGAGATAATCTCATCTCAGATAAGTGAACCTGAACACATGTATTCAGGTCAGCAAACTGCACATGGGAAATGTTTGATTATGTTGTCATTGTCCATGGTGAGAATTTAAACCAAAGTAGCAAAAAACCAAGCTGATTCTCTTGGAAGTAATGCTTCATAGTAACAGATGGTATTCTGCTATTATTTCTGTTGTTAACTTTGTTCTTCTGAAATTTGCATCATAGGCACTTGAACATTCTGGATGTCTCATTAAAAGCTGTTTGAATAGTCAAAGGCTTAACAGTGATCTTTTCCAAAAAAACAGTGGCCCTTTTTGTTATGTACTTTTGAGTTCATGATTTCTTTGTAGTGCTCCAAAGGTATTTTTTGACTGATCTGCTTTTAATCTTTCTCTTTCATAGGAGATGATCCAGCAGAACGATATTGGATATGTACTAAATGCCAGTAATACCTGTCCAAAGCCCGATTTCATTCCAGAATCCCATTTTTTGAGAGTGCCTGTGAATGACAGCTTTTGTGAGAAGATTTTGCCTTGGTTGGATAAATCAGTCGATTTTATAGGTGAGAAGAAACTTTATATTGGCTCTCTAAAACACTTTCTGGATTACTTTGTGTGTCTGCCTCCTATTTTGGCTGGAGAAGACCTGAATTCTTTCTGGGTGGTATGGAAATACCCTAAGGATCTGCATATACGATCACCATCACTTCATAAGCACAGAACCAAAGTAACAGGGACATTCTGCCACTGTGTGTTTCAGCACTTACAGAACAAAGACACTTTTTAAAAGCACAGCTCTGCTATCTGGCAACCTGGTAGACGCCTGATATATGCCTGCAGAGAATGAATTAGAAAATTAGACATACAGATCCTGTCTTTGACTTCGAGCAGTAAGCTAACAGATAAACTGGCCAAATCGTTTCTGGTCTTACAAACAAGTAAAAAGCAAGTGTTTGTGATGGAACAGTCAGCTCTAGGTGGGGGTTGTTTATGTGCATGTTAAAGTAAATGCAGCATGCTGTAACTGCAGTGCATTTCCTGTGTGTAGTCACGTGTTTTTTCTATACCGAATGCAGCGATTGAGAAAATAAATGATTGTTGTTCAAAGCTTCCATGAAATCTGCATGGAATTGGCAGCTATTTTTGGAAGTTCTGAACAATTTCAAAATAACACTGCTTTCCTTGCGAAGTTTTCATCATGATATAATGCTGCTGATTTCTTTGGTATGCAGAAAAAGCAAAAGCATCAAATGGCCGTGTGTTAGTGCACTGTTTAGCTGGAATATCTCGCTCTGCCACAATCGCTATTGCATACATCATGAAGAGAATGGATATGTCCTTAGATGAAGCTTACAGGTAAGGAGAAAGTTTCCCTTCATGTTAATTCTTGTGTCTGGCAGCCTGTTTTTGAAGCGGTACAAGGTTGTACGACCAAGCGCAGAAGCAGGCATGTTACTTTATGATGTAGCTCATTGGCCTGTAGGCATTCTTGCTTTAAATGGAGGCTTCCACCATAAACAAATGAGTGGCTGTGTGCAGACATTGTGCACCTAATGTTCATTCAAAGTGCTGATGTTGGCCTTTGCTCTGAGTAGGCAAATAAATGAAATTTAAACTGTGTGTGCGCCTATACACACACAGATGTATCATACAGAGCAGTGTCTTGCAAGCCAAAGAGAGAAAGAAATGGGTAAAGAATGAGAACTGAGGATATTTATAATCCCATTTGTAACAAACACTAGGTGGGATTTATTTACTTCAGTTTGGCACTTGGTAATGCTTTCAAAGAAGTGCCTGCAAGTAAAATGCATAGGAATTAAGGAAACAACTTTGTTGCTATTAATCTCAAACAAAAACTCTTGGAGAAAGTATTTTTAGGTATAAGCACTATGTGGGATTAGGGAATTCTTGGGGGAGCCCCCTCCCACACTTTTTCCACCTTCAAATCATAGTATTTCTATACTTGTATTGTGAACACTACATTTCACGTGACTTGACTGCAGTTTACTACAGTTTCTCTGTTTCAGTTGACAAACTTCTTTTTGTTCCTACATAGCACAGGAAATGCTGCCTTCCTTCTTGACAGACCTTGCAGGCTAATTGGCAGAGCTGACGCACCTCCATTGCATGCGTCATGCAGAAGGAGTTTGAATAATTGTGCTGGAGCAGCTTGAGAGGAGCACCTCCCAAATCACTGTTGTGTTTGCTAGCACTATCTCTAAAAACAGAGATGGGAACAGAAAGATGAACAGTTTTCATGGGACACTTTCTTTTAAGTTGCTTATGGCATGTAAGGGATGCTATCTCTTCCATGTAAGAGGTGCCAGAGCTGCAGATTTCTCCCATAGCATTTAACAATCTGCAGAAAGAAGACTTCTGCCACTGCTTGCTGACCGTTTGGTTAGTTAGGTATGATGAAGTAGCTTTGGCTTGTTAAGAAGCAGAGGTGAAACTTCACAGGGACACAGCGAGAGACAGTAGATGCACTGCTGGATGCAGATGGTTACTGTGCAAGGCTTGATTCACTGAGCAGCTGGTCTGATCCCAGACTGCAGGTCTGGAGGGGAGAGCTGTACAGTACTAAACGCTTCTTAAAGGCACACCTCAGTGAGATTTCACTGAGCAAGAAGTGCTTCTTTGTTCTTTTCATGACACATCCTTGACCTTTTTTTTTCTTTCTTTCTCTTTGCACTGTAAACGCTGAACAACTACTGTGAAACTTTGACTTTATTTTAATATATTTCCTTTGATATGATTCAGTGAGAAAGGTCTGCAGCACGTTTCACTTACTGGTTTGGAATCTTTTGCTGGCAAAGCTTAAAAGAAAAATACTTTTTCTGGTTTAATAGAAGGTGTTAGATAAAATGTTTGTCTGAAACTTCTAAAAAAATAAAAGGTGATGCTAAATGTTACTTGAAATGAAAGATCTGAGGAAATACACTATTTTCATCTTTTGTTTAATTTGTATGCTGGACTGTATAAGGGAAACAATCATCACCATTTAAATATTTTGCACATTTTTCAATAAGAAAAGGCGTGCATTTTGAAATGAAAAGTTTTGCAAAGCCCTATAACTTGGCAGAAGGGATCAAGGAGACTTTCTTGATGCCTTTTTCTAGTTAAAAAAGCTAGTGTTAAAGTTAAAACTGTCCTATTTTGGAGTGGGAGGAGGAAGAAGTTGAGGGAACGGTGTTGCACTTCATAGCGGAAGTTTCCACCATCACTTTGTGCAATCTGCTCTTGCAGGTCATAACATCAGCTTGACTATTCGCTGCTATTCAGATGATTAGCAAAAAATAACAGTGCCTGCTGTGTTCAAAAAGCTTGGTGTCCTTGAAGTTGTTGCAACGTCTTTTTTGTTTTGTCGTGTGCTTGCTTGCATTTATGCTCGTGTATGTGTATACGTGTGAGTACATGTCAGAATTTTTCTTATGCCATTTTTAAAAACCACACACTCACTTCTTGCACGTGTCCCCAGAGAGATTTTCTGCCTTTAATAATATTGAATCTCCTTGTTATGTGTGTGATTGCAGTAGGTTTAGCTATTCAAGCTCTCTTCCCCTGTTAATTCCCTTGTCATCTGCTACCTTCACCATTCAGGAATGGGAAGGGGAAAAAAAAAAAAAGAGGGATTTGGACAGCCTCCTCTTTTACAGCCAGTAAAAATACAAACTTTTTTTAGCTGAACTACAAATCAGGCAAAGTCTGCTGCCATATTTAATTCTGAGTTACACGATGTGACTTCAGTAGTGAAGTTTCTCATTCATTTGCAGTCCTGATTCAGGAACACGTTTTGAAGTTATGTCTTGCAGGTTGTTCATATTCAAAGTGCATGACTGCAAATGTATGAGAGTTAGGCTGTTTCCTTCAGGACTGGAGAATTCCTATTACATGGATTCAGTGATGCTGTTACTCTTTTACTGTTGAACACATGCTGAATGATTTTTTAATGCTGCATTTGCTCATTTTCCTTTTTGATGAGCGTATCAGTGATCAATACCAGTGTATGGCAGAAAAGACTGGCATTTGCTGTACAAGGTCAGTATTCATGAAAGCAATCTCTTGACAAAGGTAAAATGGGACAGGAAGTGCTGATGGCATGAAAGAGAGAGGAGAAAGAAGTATGGTATTCCAGCCACTCAGACAGTGGGGACAAGTGCTTTGCTTTCTGCTTCAGTGCTGTTCACAACACTTGAAGAGCTCTTAAATTCAGTCAGAGACCAAAGGTAGAGATGACACAGTAAAATAAATGATTTCTTCAAACCTTGCTGTAGACACCATAAAGAGGTAAACTGAAAGCTTTCTTTCCTCCCTCTTTAGCTGCCTTCTGGTAATAAAAAGAGTTGAGAGAATCCATCATTATATTGCATAAAAGCTGTCCTCTTTTCCATTCATAAGTTACCCGTGCTTGTCAGAACCTCAGGCAAAGCATCCTGACAAGTATTAGGCTGCTAACTTTAGGGTGATTGCTCTGACTGTTATTTCAAGTCTGAGAAGCAACTTCTTAAAATAATTTGTTCTTCCCTTTCCAGATTTGTGAAAGAAAAAAGGCCAACCATTTCTCCCAACTTCAACTTTCTGGGCCAGCTTTTGGACTTTGAGAAAAAAATCAAGAACCAGAGTGGTCAGCCCGGACACATCAGTAAGCTGAAACTTCTGCACTTGGAGAAAAGCAGCGAGCACGTGCTGGTGCCAGAGGGGGGGCAGAGCAGCCTCGCCACGAGTCAGCTCTGCATCACTGCTACCTCAGAGATCGTGGAACCGAAGCCTGCAGACCCTGGGAACGTGCCATGTACTCATTTGCCCTCACTGGAGGACAGCCCACTGGTACAGGGCATAAATGGGCTGCACGTCTCCCTAGATAAGGTAGAAGACAGTAACCGGCTGAAGCGCTCCTTTTCACTGGATATCAAATCTGTGTCCTACTCTGCCACTAGCAGCTGTGTGACTGCATCGGTGCAGGGCTTCACCTCTTCCGAAGACACCCTGGAGTACTATAAACATGCGACAGCTTTAGAGGGAAGCAGCAAGCTGTGTCAGTTCTCCCCTGTGCAGGAGGTCTCGGAGCAGACCCCAGAAGCCAGCCCTGATAAAGAGGAAGCAAACCCTCCAAAGAAGCCCCAGAATGCCTGGCAGCTGGATAGCCAGAGCAAGCGGCACGTGGGGAGATCCAGCAGTGGTGCAGTCACTCAGCGGGCGCTCCTGTACCCGCTGCACCGGAGTGGGAGTGTAGAAGACAACTACCGAACGAACTTCTTGTTTGGGCTCTCCACCAGCCAGCAGCACTTGGCGAAATCTGCAGCAGGGCTGGGCCTCAAAGGCTGGCACTCGGACATCTTGGCTCCTCAGACATCGGCCCCATCCCTTACCAACAGCTGGTACTTTGCAGCCGAGTCCTCACATTTCTACTCTGCCTCCGCCATCTATGGGAACAGTGCTGCCTACTCTGCCTACAGCTGCAGCCAGCTGCCCACGGGCTGTGAGCAAGCCTGTGCTGTGCGCAGGAGGACGAAGCAGGGCAACCGCGGAGACTCCAGGCGGAGCTGGCACGAGGAGAGTTCTTTTGAAAAGCAGTTTAAGCGCAGAAGCTGCCAGATGGAGTTTGGGGAAAGCATCATATCGGACAACAGATCCAGAGAAGAACTGGGGAAGGTGGGCAGTCAGTCGAGCTTTTCAGGCAGCATGGAAATCATTGAAGTGTCCTGAGGAGCAGTGGACTAAGTGTGACTGTAGCGGAGGTGCTCCCCCTCCACATCCCCGCAGGTCTGAAAAGGACAAACCCTGTGCAGAAGGGGAGGGAGGAGACACGGAGCTTGGTGGGAGCACACTGACTAGATTGATAGAGCAAGGCAACAAGAGAGCATCCGCACAAGGAGACTGAGCCTACCATTGGTTTTCTTCTCCCATCCTGGAGAAGGGCAGAACATTTCAAAGATTTTTCCCTGACAAAGGAAGCAATTACGTGCAATGGATTGCACATCCTTTCAATGTTTTCAGAAAGGAAACTCTCTTGGTATCAGACCATTTCTCTGGTTCCACTGAAACACGCCCCTACCCATCAAAGCTAGTTTTATTCTCCCCTCCTCAAGCCCCAAGTCCTCACCAGTGCACCTTAGCTCTGACGCTGAGCCAACCTCTGGAAGGAGACCTGAGGAGAAAGGAGGCTGGGAGTGATTCCAAAGGAACTAGGGACTGGTTACAGCAAGGCTGGTCTGAAAAGACAATTCAGACAAATGTAAATACTGGTGTAACTATTGTTCTAATGGATAGGCTTTAGGTGATTTTCTAGAGAGCTGCTTCAGAGAAGAAACCAGTACCTCAAAAATATAACAAACTAGGGCGTTATGGCTGCCGGATGCCGGTAGTCAGTTGGTAAGCAATGTGAACAAGTAACAACTAAGCCACATTGGATTTTTTTTAAAGCTGTCTACGCACAAGTGTTTCAGTTGGCCTAGCAGTAATTCTTAAGACAAGTGATCTGTATTTGTGGCCATTTCCCCCATTCTTTTGAAACATAAAATAAGCAGTGTTTGTATTTCTGCCATTAAGCTGGCTTCTGGGAGAGGGACAGTTTGGTTTATAAACTGTAATGGAGCAGTTACCACTTCAGATTACAGAGAGGTGGCTAGTACAATGCCACAAAGCCCTCTTCTTGCCGATTAGCAATTCAAAAGATGGCTCTAGAAAAAAAGGAGCTGTAAGATCCATTGGGCTGGGGTTTTGTTCTGAACTGAGCAGTACCTTCCAGGCCTGTTTTTCATACCCAGCTCCAATCTACATGTGGGATGAGAGTGATTCATGGTTTTAGTTTTTTCCTCCCCCTCCGTCTTCATTCACCCAGACAGAGGACTCTGAGGCAGATGCCCATTTCAGGTTTGCTGACTTCATTTGAGAGAGAGGTCTGTTCAGCTGTCCAGGGAAAACAGAAGGGAGAACTCCAAAGTCCCATCTCATAATGTGTGTGTGTGTGAAAGAAACAAGAGTTTGAGAAGAGACAGCTTTAATGGAAAGCCTGCTCACCTCCTGCACTTGCAGATCCAAAGGAACTTCAGTTTTGGCTGTTGTCTTCTGTCCCAGCTTAGGGTCCCGGTTTCCCAGTGTGCTGATGCAGGATTTGGCTGCAATTGCCTCTAGCTGCTCTGCCACGGGCCAGCGTTCTGCTTTCTGATCTCCACCAAGAATGTGCCAGCGTGAGGAGGTGTTGTTTCCCCACTGCCAGCGAGGTGTTTCATGGGAGATGAGGCACGGCCTCCTTGTGTTGTTTTTGACAGAGAACCAGCTGCTTCCCCTGCAGCGTGCCATTCTTGTGGTATGTCAGCTGCTGCTGTGCACGCACAGCGCTGTGCCGAGCTGGCAGTGGGCGAGGAGTGGGAGCAGACGCGCAGCGCAGAGCTCCGTCCTCCCCCTGGTGCTGGGATAGAAGCTGCACACGTGTTAGCTTGGGCTTCCCCGAGGCCCCACAGAACGCAGATGTGGGGGGAAATGGATTGTTTTGTCCAATTTCAGTGCAGGCGGCTGAAAACTGTAAATCAAATGTAACAAAAACCTACCCCTGGCCAACAGCTTTAAAAAAAAAATTGTCTGCGGCAAACTGAAGCCCTAATTCAAGTCAGCAGCTTGGGTTATTTTTTTTTTTTTTTACTGTAAGTTTTAGCTAGTTTGTGACTCAAATCTCAGGTTTTACTATATTGAAAAGCAGAGAAAATCTCGTCTTTGTTTTGTGACTAGGATGTGACAGTTTCCTACAGCAGACTGTATAAAATAGCACTGAAAGCTACAGCATTGATTAACTTGATCCTAAATCGTGCAGAGGACACACAGAGAGGCAGCAAGAGGATGCGGTGAACCTAGAGGCTGTGCTGGTGAGATGTGTGAAGTGCCGGAAGAAGGGCAGTGCAGGCAAGGGCAGCCAGCACTGTATTGTAAAGCAGATCAGGCTGGGGCTGCTTGTTAAACATACTGCCACTTGGCTGTGTTTACATATCAAGTGAAAGCAATTACATTATGACTGTTTCCAGCATATATACACACTGTGCGTGTATATATACACAACCATTTAGTTGTGCTCCTCTCAGGCAGATTTCAGTAAAGACCCATGGCTTTCTTTGATTTGAATCACTTAATGGGGGTAAGCACAAATAAATCCCCGCAGGCAGGAACAGAATTTTCCTGGTTTTTGTGTTCTCATGTGAGTGTCCCCATGCTCACGTGAGCGTGTAGAGAGTCCCAGTCATACATAGGTATGCTTGAGTTTTGGTGGGTGACTCCTTCTGAGGGACTGAAATTTGGATGTCTGGCTCCTAGGAATTTCCAGTGTGCTGCAGTCACTGCAGGCATTAAAGCTGTAGGCTCAGAGTGCTGGGGGACAGGTTCCTGGAGGAGGAAACCTTAAATCCATATCCTGTGCAGGGTGCTGCCCTGTCTCGCTTCTACAGTAGTGTACTGTACCTGAATGATGCTGGAAATGGTTTCTAGAAGGGTGGAAAGCAAAACGAAGGGTGCAAGGGGGGAATGTGTACATGTTCAATATGAATATAATGTTCTTTGGTGTATGGAAGGTGTTTAAATGGTTCAGAGAGATGTGAGTTTCTCATATTGTGTCATGAGCATTACCTGTATGTTATGATGAAATAAAATCATAAATGGTACCTGTTTATACAGAACAGGGAGGAGCCTGTGTGTGTCTGGCTGCAGAGCACGCGCTGCCTGCCTACAGCAGGAGTGCTGTCAGCAGCCAGGGCTGGCGGGGTGCATCTCTGCTGTGTGCATCCTCTGCAGCTGTGCCTGTTCATGGACAGCACAGACCAGGGAACACTGTGGCTGCTCCTCACAAATCGATGATTTCACAGTTCTAGCCTCTCACCTGTTCCTGCTCACCCCTTCTGCTCCCTTGAGAGCGGTAATGGCACTTTCCTTTCTCTTGCCACTTTTCATGCTGGAGAATACAGCTGCATGGTCTCACACAACAGCAGTTGTCATTACACTGTTCACAAAACAGCAGCAGCACTGGCTTTTCTAGAAGCAAGTATTTCAGCTTGTTCATTTTACCTGGGGACACATCGCATTTTTTCTTGTCTTCCCTACTTCAGTGTGTAATCACACTCACACTTGTGATGGATTCTGCCAGTCCTGAAACTTTCAGAACAGCTTTCAAATACTGAAGGAGGTTTTGCCCCTCACTGCTCCTTCAGAGAACAGCTTATACAAAAGTAGTGTATATTAGAATAAAGTCCTGCAGCAGAGTGTGGATGCCAAGGCTGTATCCTTAAAATGGCATCAGCTTGCTGTCCTACAGAACAGCCCTCCCCTCTCACCCCTGCCAGCAGACAGCTCTTCACAGAGACAGTCTTAAGACTAACTCCAAGAACTCAAGAGGCAACGGAAATTTGCTGTTCAACAAGATTTAATTTCTGTTTCACTGACTGGTGAAGAGGTCCCAAGGTCACTGTGGTCTTGATTTAACCATCACAGTTAAATTCCTGGAGTGGACTGAAAACAAGATTTGGGCAGCTTTGGGGCAGTGGAGGTTATGAAAAAGAGCAGAAATGCTGTTCTTGCTGACTGCAAGTTCATCTGCTAGCTGCTCCTTACGTTTGGACTCACAGCACAAGCTTTAAATCATTCCTACCAAAAAGCGGTGGTATATCAAGAGCCCAGAACAGCAGGCCTGGCCATTCTCGAGTTCTAAAAAAGGCTGTTATTGGCCTTTCTGAGATCTGAAATTTCTGAGATCCAGCAAAACTTATCTAAATACACATTTTAGTAAGACAGCCATAACTGGCTGGAACATCAGATCACTTAAAAAGCATCTCTATGCATTTGCATCTCCCCAGGTGCAGGAGTGGAAATACCATCACCTCATTGTTTTCTCAACAGCAGGACAATTCTGCAGCCAGAATTCTACTGCCAGAATTCTGCTGCCAATTCTCTGTTAAATCTGCTTTTCTAAATTTCTTAGAATGGCTTCCCCTGCAGGAAGCACCACTAATACACCAGGGATGTTCTTACGACACTGACCCACAGCCCCTGCCCTGTGGAAGAGTGCGCAGTGCTATCTCAGGGTCAGGGGCAATATCATCTCAGTGACTCCCTGGCCCAGCACAGGGGTGGGCAGCCAGCTCAGCTGCAGCCCCACCACTGGCACAGCACAGCATCACTGTACACATCATTCACTTGAACTGGATACCTGTGTCAATCCCAGCTGGAACAGCATCCAAAGATACTAGCTGTTTCATTCTTGGATGCACATCTCCTTACCATCACCAGGCCATCTCTGGGGCACAAACAGAGCAGGAAAGCTGAGGTATAACTGAACACAGACCCCAGCCTTCATGGCAAGAAGCAATGTAAGTGAAGAACAAGCAAGGCACTTGGAGAAACAACACACTTGGAAAAGAGCAATACCAAACGTTTTAATGTTGGAGCTGGAACATGTAGCACACGTAGCTGTATACAGAGCAAGTCAGTGAAGAGGATGGTAAGGCACAGACCAAGGGGCACTGGAGCACAAGGCTCACAGTCAGATCACACGCTGGCAGCACAGGATACAGAGGGAAGGTGGATACCATACCAATACCAGTGGAATGCCAGCCGATAGGACAAGGGGTCTGTGGACGTGCCTATTTCTGCTCGCTTTGTGTAAAAACCTAGAGGAGGGGACGGACCTTTTAAATATTTAAATATATTTAAATATATAATTTAAAATACATTTATTAAAAAACAACAACAACAACAACAAATTTTCTGTCCCCTTCACTGGATTTTCACAGAAACTGACCAGCAGATGGGTTGGTACTTTAGCACCCTGACAATGCATTAAATTATAGAAAAGACAACAGTAACAGAGGAAACCTCTTCCTCCAGTGCAGTACCGTACAGTGCCCCAGCATTTTGTGCCACAAGCACACAAGGCAGCAAAGGAACTGGAGCAGCTCAAGCCCCTGAAGAAACACAGCCCAGGGCCTCACTTCACTCTCCAGCTTTTCAGGTTTCACACCAGCAGGCTCTGTCCGCACCTGCCTCACATGAGTTTCATTTCACATCACAACCAGAAATGGAAAGAAATGCTTCTTCTCAGAGGACTGCGACAGATAATTCTGTTCATAACACTAACGATCTGTCCTTCATGTTAAAAGTAGCAGTACAGTTTCAAGAGAGACCTGAGCTTTCTCCATCACTGACTGGCTTGGGAAAGGAAACGTGTAGGCAGAACAGTAACTCTAGTCACATCTCACATCCCTGCCACACGGAGTGAGAGAGTAAAGCAAAGTCTCACCTTGAGCATCACCCACACCTAAGGTGAATTCAAAAGCAGCACATGGAGCAAAGCACGGGACAGCCAAACAACAGCAACATGCAGCAGAAAAGGGCTTCCCTTCAGCAAGAGGTCTAAGAATTATGGGTGATAAAGCTACTGATGATGTTTTAAATAGAACTGTTAGCCATCCCTTAAGAACAGTTAGAGGATACAGGAATTTTGCAGGACATGTATGAGATCTGTTGAATGGAAGTGATGGAACTGTGTTCTTTGGAAGAGGCTGACATTTCAATCCTGATTTCCTCTAGTTAAGTTATAATATGTATTACAACTTACCCTTGCTGTTCAGGAGTCACTAGCTGGGAGGCCCAGCAGTGTACCCAGAAGCTTAAAAGGCAGTAAGCGCATAGGAATATACATGTTCTCCCATTATCAGCCCAATAGCTAGGCAAATAAGAAACTGATTTGCAGCCCCTGCTCCTGCACGTTCCGGACAGGAGCACTATTTTCTCATCTGCATCAGCACTGCAAGAAGCAACACTTTCATCTGATGCATAACAGTGTAAGGAAAATGTCCAAAGCTTTACATGAGTGAGCATCTACAACCTTGCCCCTGCTGGCAGATCTGGTATCTAGATCGATTCCAGGCCTAAGATGCCTGTGTTCCAGGGCATGGGGACCCTCACACTGGTTGGAGACAGCAGCTGAATGCTACACTTCATGCGCTTCCAAGCAGCTTGGTCTGGACGAGGAGGACAAACTGCCTGCACACCTATTTCAAGTTACTGACTACTGAACCATGTCTGGTGGCAAGAGGCAGAGAATGTCTCCAGGAAGGATGGTAAGGATATTCTTGGCATGACCACGGGAAGCAGGTTGTCACAGGTTGCTCAGTCTCCTGTAAGCATCAACTTTCTTTTTTTTAAACAAACCAAGTGTAAAATATTGCAAAACACAAGAGCATAGGTGGGAGTCTGCTCTTCACATTGTTGTATGTGCCAATATACAACTATGTACCAACTCCACAGTGAGAGCAGTAAAGATATGGACTCTGTGCTGCCCTTCCCAGAAAATGTTCTGTTCACATCTTTGCCAACTGCTCTTCACTGGGCACCATCCAGAGGGCCTCACAGCTATGGTACTCCATTCTCAGCAATGCTCAGCAGGCCCCACAATCATGTTTCAAACACAGAACTGCGCTGGCTGCAGCATGCATTACAAAAAGTCACTCTGGGCTATGTGGCCTCTGGTAGTGAAGCAAAACTAACAGCCTGTTGCTCCCTGCCTCCAGGAGCCATTTACGCTATCAGAAACCTATGATGCTGTCACACTCAAATGTCTAGAGACAATCTTTTGCTGATTAGGTACACTCATACGCTAAGAGCTATTCCAGGAAGTCCCAAAGCCTGTACTGACAGACGGGTTGTGGCAGGGATTCCTTCAAAGTCTGGAATGACCACCTCTGAAATGACTGCCATTCAAGTTCAGCCTCCTCACCAGCAACAGCATACTGGGAGGTCTGTAATGAGCACAAACCTACCACTGGCCCAGCAAGCCCGAGGCTCCTTGCTTCTGCTTTCATGCTCTTTCTGCTGGGATAAGAGCTGCTGTGCAACTGCAGTGCAGGCTGCTCGAACACCATTTCTAGATGTGTAAATATTTCACAACAGTGTGTAAAATATCCCATTTTATATGGGGAGAAACCAAAGCCTGTGGCAGCAGCCCAGTAGCAGACTTGGCAGTCAGCAGTCCCCCAAGTCCCAGAGCAGTGCCTCGGCCCCATGAGCAGCCTGCCGACTGTCCAGCTGGGGCTCAGTTCACAGGAACGCAGGAACATCCTGTTGCCTTTGGAGCAGTTTGTGGAGCATGATCCCAAAGGGCCGTGTGGTTTTAGTCATAAAACACCACGCTCAGGCAAGCTCTCAGCATGATGGCAGTTCAGCCAGCACGGAGTCTGAAGGACTTTTCAAGTCTCCCCTCCAACTGCATCCCTCTGGTATAAAAGAGCACCAAGATAACTGGTGTATCCCAATAAATAAAAAAATACACAAGATCCGATCCCTTGCATCCAACTTTGGGGTGCCAAGTAAACAGGCAAGTACCAGCATCTGTTAGAATCACAGTGCAAAGTAAGGGACGTGAACAGCCATCAACTAGGGCACAAGACGCTGCCAGGGCAAAGGGAGAGGAACATTAAGGCTGCTCAGCAATAACAGACATATCTGTAACAGTTATTCCTTCACAGCCTCATTAAATGAGTGAGCCCATAAAAACAAAGAGCCTCAAGAAAGGACATGCCAAAACCCTGCCACGCAAACTGTGTTAATTATGATACTAGGCAGATTTTAATAAGCCAGTTCCTGGCTCTCACACTTTCACCTATGAAGCATACATATTTCCAAGTGCAGAGGATCTCAAAAATACTTGCCAGTCATCTAATTCTCTAAACCCAAGAGCACAGAAAGCATATTAGAGGGTTTGTCATACCCCATATCCCATTGAATTCTTCTAGTAAAAAGAACGGATGAAAGAACTCCTCTGAAACCCACATCTAGTTACAGCAATGAAACAAATGTCTCAGCACAGGTGGTGGCAGTGGAAGAGGAGAGAGCAGGGCAGGTGGAAGGAGATGAAAGCACAGTTAAGTGTTCCTCTCCAAACAATGAGGCCAGGGGAGCTCCTGGATTCCTGGCTGCACAGCCCCGGCAGCTGGGGCTGTTCCTCCTCTGGTGCCCTAACAGAAAGTCAGACAACACGGCTGTCCACTCCCAACATCGGCCAGTCCGGAAGCACACCTGTGCCAAGCACTGGGGTGCAGGAGGTGGAGGGAGCTGGAGCAGCTAGGACTTTATCTCCCGGTCAGGTTTCATGCTGAAGGGCTCCAGCTGCTCACTCTCAGGCAGCATGCTGTTCAACCTCTCCATCAGCGGGACAGTCTGGTCAATGCCCATCTGAATACGGCGGAGGATGGCAGACATCTCGTTGACCTTCTGGATCTGCTCAGCATACTTGGCGTACTTCTTCTGTCGCTCCTGCATGAAGCTGTAAAGAGTTTCCACTGAGAGGTCCATCTGTTTAAAAACAAGCAGAGAAGCTAGCCATGTTAAGCCTGCTGTTACACAGACCTTACAGCACATCACCTCCCTTACAAGCATGTCAGACACCCCGCTGGATCTACTGGTCCAGTACAGGAGCTCCTCTACCGGTGCTCAGTCAGTTTGCCATGAAATGGGATAAATTATTGCTGTACGTGGAGGACATGCAACCACCTATACACCGATTATTGGATGCATTGGATCATGCATGATATCCAAACACAGGGAAATCATGGCCTCTGCCCACACCTTTGTATTTTTGGTAGAACTTGTTCACTTTCAAGCATTAAACTTTATTTGCCAGTAGTAACATCACTGGCTTCAGCAGGTTGCTCTACGACTGAGCCACTGCTGTTATTGCCACCATCAGCTGGAAAACTCCTGTCTTGAGAAAGAACCACAACAGATTAGTAGTGTCCCTAATTTCCCTGAATCCTAAAAATAAAAGTGTTATGAATGACCCCAGGAGAAACATTAGGTAAATCAGTCATGCAATTAAGCACGGTAAGTACCTAAACACAGCCAGAGCATTATTACAATGACAGGAACTGCACTGCTATTCCTGCCATTGAACTATGGAGGTAGCTCTTGTAATTCACAGCTCAGCTTTCCCAACAGTGAGATTGTAAGCTCCAAGGAGGATTCAGCTGCTAGCACCATACCACACACACACCAGCCAACTCAGACCGTTTAAGCTGTTCACCACTCTGTGAGATACGCCATACATAAATCTCTCATTCAGAGAGCCTGGTACGTAACATATCTATTCCATTCTCTAAAAGCACACTGAAAACTCAGCTACTTCAACTCGCTGTAGCTGTGTTCAGCAACCCCACTCATCCCACAGCTGGTATATCTGAGCTGCAGGCATCCATCTCAGAACCAAGAGAAGAGCTCTCAGCACAGACAAAAATGTTAGCAGTGCAGTACTATTAAAAATCCCACTGCTGCCTTGGACAGCATTTAAACAGCAGGTGTAAAAGTGACCCAGCAGTGATTTGGAGACAAAGGGGGGAATTTACAGCAAGGGGAAGAGGTTCAAGGAGAGGTGCAGGGCTGGAGAGGGAGCTGCACTGCTGACAAACATCGCTCTCAGGCCCTGGGGAAGGAGTTAAGACAAAAAATAGTCAGGCAAGAAACTGTTTTAGTGAGGAACCAAAGCTACAGACAGCATTAAAAGCAAACAGACAAGTTTCCACTAAATTGTCATGGGGATTAGGAAGACTTTTTTTTTCCTATCACCTCCATCAGAGCTGGATACAGCACCAATTAACCTTTTATTTGTTCTATATTTTCTGGTGTTCTCAGGCTGAATTCTTCCTCTTTGCCTCTGTGCCTTCCTGTGAATTCCTCCCGCCACGCTTCCATGCATGAAAAAACATAAACCCAGCAGTGCAGGAAACTCCAAATGGAGTGGAAACAATTTAAGCCTACATAGGGGTTTCTATTAAAACCCTAGCTTAATAATTTAGGAGCTTGGCACTAGCTCTGTAAATTGGAGCATGTAAAAGCAGACCACCAGCAGGTCTGCACAGGATGGGAGTAAATCCAATCCAGTACCTAAAAATGTCCTACCTAACAAGAGCCAATGTGAAGCAGCAGCTAGCGCAGAGTAGCAGCCAGCTGAACAGCAGCACAGGGATAGGAGCAGAAACCTCCCTTGCTTCAAAGCCTTCCTCTCCAGGCAGGTTCCTCACATGGCCCCACAGCTCTATGCAAGGGCAAAGCAGGCATCCATCCAGCTCTGGAATAACAAAGCCCCCTTTCTCACCTCCAGCAATTTCATTTGGTGATTTTTTAGGCTCCTCATGTAAATCCCAGTGATGTCCACTTGCAGAGGGGAGCATGGAGAAGGGTTGGAGGTGGGGGGGAAGGGAGGGACCAGAGAAAAAAGAAAAGCAGAGTAGCCTTCTAAGGTACTTTTGGACATGTTCACAGTAGCTCTATAAAAGCTGCCTCACAAAATAGAGAAAGGCTGGAAGTGAGCGTTTCCTATGGTTTCCCTACACCTTGCATTACAGTTCATCTGCTGTGAGAGGCCACGGCAACTGCAAAATCTGTGACGCTGTAAGAAAGACTGAGGTTGAGTAATCATGAGGAAAGGCTAAGTTATACCCAGGCTGAACTTGGTCTTTTTAAATAGTAAAAGAAAAAATGTGGTGTGCTAACTCTTGCATCTAAATGCCAGTGCTCTTTGCAGCCCTTCTCGAGGTAGGCATAAAAACACATCAGCATTCTTGGTGTCTCCTGCTGGAAGAAGGCTCCCTCCAGGGCCAAACCTTGTGCTGTCACCTCCCTTGTGCACACACTGCTGCTTCCCATCTCCTTCATTCCACATGGCAGCAATAAAAAGCACCTGGAGAGAGGTAGTTGAGGCCAGTCCACACTCTCCAAGACACATCTCAGGGGCAAGGTGAAGGACAACCCCCAACTCCCATGGGCAGCAGATCTGATAGGGGCCCATGTCACCATCTCCTTGACTGCCCCAGGCTCAGCAGTGCTCTGGGAAGGCCAGCAAGATGCTCCAGGACCAGTGGCAGTGGCTCATGGCAGTCTAATATGCATGCTACACAATTTTTGTGCAGCCAGTAACACTTTATAACATAAATGGATCCAAATCCTAAACCCATGACTCATTCAAGGACAGTTGCAGCAATACAGTCATGTATGTCTAAGTCTCAAATTCTTAAATTTGAAATGCTATCTACTGGGTTTCTCCTTCAAACGAAAACAAACCCATAATCACTTCCAATATCACTGGAGATGGATGGTCCCCTGGCCAGAGGCCTCTACTGCAGCCCCTCCCAGAGGGGCACCATTCACACTGAGGCCAGCAAGGGCTCAGAGACTGTGCTGCACAGGCCTGTTTGTAGCACACTGATGGAACAAGAGCCAGTTGAGGGTATTTTCAGACATCTTGCAAACCACAATTCTTACATTTATTTTGGAATTCTTCTTGGCCCATACTGCTGAGCAGAATAAAGATATGAATTTAAGCACACAGAAGACTGCACTGGACACCAATCAGTTCTTTTTCAGAGATGATGCTGAGAACAAAACCATGCCCTAAGTGCACCTCTTACGTAGTGTGGTTTCATACTGACACTGTCATGGATATTATGTGTTCTGAGCTTTGGGAAACCGTGGTCTCATCTTGTTGACTCAGTGACTGAAATGGTAATTGGGGCACGATCTTTGTTGCAGAAATTTCTCTTGCTTAGAGCCTTGCCCCCTGCACAAGCGGCCTCTCCCTTCGTATTGGCAGCTGCCTGGGGGGGCTCAAATGAACATCTTCCTGTAGCTACACAATCATACCTGAAAATGACAGGCATGAACATGACTCCATGGAACATTAGTCACGATGCACTGGCGTGAAAACGCTTCTCAGTCAGTGCACTTAAAGCTGCAAACAGTTTGTCTGTGCTGGCTGGAAAGAAATGAGCTCAATGTATGGCTTTTCTTCCACCCTCCTTTTTAATAACGTCACGCAAAGTGAGCACAATAAATTGTGACAACTATCTGGTGCTGGGAACACTGATTCCCTCTTATCTCCCACACTGATAAGCAATAATCTTAGTGGGCCGCATCTTTACCAAGGTAGACAACAAAGGCTCCTAGCTAAGGATCCCACATCCTTCCCTTCAGGACCAATCATGAGCACAGTTCTCATGAGTACTGCTCCTCTGCACCACTTTAAGGTAAACAACTACAAACTTGTGTTTAAGTTTTGTTTAAACCTGATTTGACATACCAAAATGTTCCTTTTGTAATTTGCTGCTGCTGTAAACAGCTGCAAAGGAGTTACTCAGACTGCGCAGTGTGCAGATCACAGTCAGAGAATGAAAAGTCGTCATTTTAACTGTCTCTAACACCAAGTTTTTGTAACATTAACAAAAATGCCACGACCCAGTGAGCACTGCCACAGAAATACACTTCAACAAATCTACAGCTAAATATGTAACAGGTCTCTCAGCACTACTGTAGATAACCTCAGATCTTGATATTACAGATGTACACCAGCTGTTGTGGGAGACCTTGGGTTGCCTCCCAAAACGGAAAAGAATTTGGAATTGAAAAGAATCAGAAGGTTCATTCTTGAAATGAGCTTTTCCACCTTTATGTAAGCCCTTTCTTGCCTATTGTGCCATTGTTCTGGATAAGTGTGTTGCTGTCCCACATGCTGACCTGCACAGACCACATTCCAGCTCAAGCCATCTCTGCTTGAGAGCTACGACTACACCTCTGCTATCTGTCTGACCTCCAGACTTGAGCTGTGGCTGCTACTGCTAACCACTGCTATAAAAAAAGTCACAGAATCACAGGGGTTGCAAGAGATCTCTGGAGATCATCTAGTCCAACCCCATCCTAAAGCAGATTACCTACAATAGGTTGCATAAGAGAGCATTTGTATTGCTTCCGAACAACAACAGGCAAAAAACCCCAGTACAGCTCAGGGTCATGGAGGTGGCATCAAACTAGACTTGCCCTGTCTGTGGGCCACACTCAGGACCATACTGCCTTCATGATCTCATCTCCAACAGCTTTGCTACAGTTGTGATTTCTGGTGGGCAAAGAAGCTGAGTGGTGCCATGTTCAGGCACAAGATCAAGACCGTCCGATACTTGGTGAGGTTGAACAATTATCTTGAGTTTTCAGATCTGCAGCTGGAAAACACTTAGCTTATGGCCTGCACAGCCAGTGTTCTTGGCCCCGAAGCACAACTTCCCACCTGAGGTCTGGGCTGCCTTTTACCAACAACATCCAGAAGATCTCAAACTCTTGCTCCCTTGCTCCAGTCAGAGACTGAGAGGATCTACAGCAACAAATGGTGGGAGGTGCTTGCTTGCAGGAGAGAGCACTGTTGTGGGCTTCTTGTGTATGAACACACACAACGTGGTAGACATGTTAAGGGTATTGCAGTTGTGCCTCAAAGACCCCACGGTGCTTCATTATGCGAGGGGGCTCAGCACCACAGT